TCCTGCTGACTGTTGATGAGTTAATGCTACTCCAGTTAGCATTCTGCTACTGTTGGCAGCTATGCCAAATCCTTGACTCAAGGCTTCTGTGTAGTAGGAGAGCTTTTAAAAGCACATCAGCACATGTGCTTCCTGGCTTTTATTTAGTATGTATTTCCAAAAAGTTTGCAGGTGGTAATAAGTCAGGATAAATATGTCTTTCTGATGATAAAGATCTAGTTGTCTAAATGCCTTTCAAAGAAAAACAGACAGCTTAAGGAGATGATCTTTGTCACATTGCTTAATTGTCAGCACTTCAGGCTCTGAGTAAGCACACCAGTATGCAAGACAAAGGTGAGTTGACTTGGGTGGAGACAGCCACTTGGACTAAAAGACTACCATTAAAATGTACTTTGGACAAACTGACATCTCTCAGTGGAATTTGACTTGCCTACCTCTTGACCTACTCTTCCTGATTTATGGTGGGATTGTGGGTGTTGTTCTTGTTTTGCTTATACTGCATAGCTCCCCACTTAATTCTTCCATGTTCTGCTAGGTCACAGCATTTGGAGGAGGTAGCAGCTAGCCTAAGAGAACGAATCAAACATCTGGATGATATGGTCCACTGCCAACAGAAGAAAGTCAAGCACATGGTTGAGGAGGTGAGATCTAGTAAAACAATTCTGAGTCTTTTGGGAACACTGATTCTTTTTGTGCATAATCCAAGGAGAGCTCTGTTCTGTGTGCAATTTCTGTATGCCACCTTAGTTACAAACACAATGGAAGATGAGCTAAGCATCTGGAGCTAATGAAGCAGAAAGACTAGGTGAAAGCAGTTTAATCCAGAGGCTGTGGGTTATATGCTGTGATTTATAGACTGACGCTAATTCTGGAACTCTTTGTGGTAGCCCAGGAAATACAACATACAACTTGCAACTTAATTTGAAGCATTCAGAGGATAACTGCAGAAACAATGCAACCTAGTCATTGAGTGTCTCCTTCTTGTACAGAAGTGGAAGGCAAAAACTGCCCTTTACTTTTTTTTTTTTTTTTTTAATGTGGTTCCTCACAGAAATAGGGGGGCAAACACAGTTTTTCACCACTCACCTTTTTTATCCTAGTCTTGGGACATCATCTTAGCTGATATAATTTCCTGTAAAATTTTAAGTGGCTTTCTGCTGGAAGGCTGCTTGAAGTGACAGGCTACCTACATGCCAAGAAACTGTTTAGCAGTTGGAAGGCTGTGATTGCAAACATTTCTGTTTCTCCGAGTGGATGAAAGAATGACATGGGAAATCAGTAAATTAAGTTTAAACTGGAGATTTACAAAGCAGACTGACAGGACTATTACACTGAGCCTTGCCATTGCACAGAGGATAGGCATTCATGAAATATCTTTTATTTGTATTTGGACATCACATGTGCACAAAATTCAATGTTTGGAAACCATTCTAACCTAAGGCATTCTTTCTGCATTCAAAATGTGCTATTATAGGATTTCTGATTAGACATGGAGTTTTTCCATTTTTATCAAGGTTGTGTGGGGTTTTTTTAATATATATGTAGATCTCTTACATTTTTATATATATATATATTTACCTATATCTGTTTTGTTTTATAAGGTTCTGATGTAGTCCTGGTGTATGATCAGATGTGTGATACTAAGTGTGTTTTACACAGAGGGATGCAAAAGTTTCTATGTCTTTGCATTAAAGTTCTTCTGTCATATCATCAGCGTAGAAGACTGGTATAAAGTCTTGAGGTTTTGTTTCTAGTTCAGTTTGCCATTTTCACTGTTTTCAAGCATCATAGTGGGTGGTCTAAAACTGAACTAACAATCTTTATACCATGGTATTCTATTAAGGAAAACTTCTCCAGTCTAATAATCCAATCCACCTAATTAATGGATTATGGGAACAATTATTTAATCTGTTTTGTATCTCTGTAAGCCAACCATCGTATTATGAGCTTTTTTCTTGTTCTAACTGAAAGTTCTAAAGGACTTGTCACTTTGTGATACATGTGGCCACCCAGATGATTCTAGTAATATATAACAGAATGGTGGCCTAAGCTTTGCCTTTTATTACTAAATATATTTTAAACTGCTCAATGTAACTTGACCTCTAGTGGGCTGCACTGGTATAACAAATACTTTCAGTTCCGTGGAGTATTTTGGCAAAAACATGTATAGAGCTTGGGCCAATGATTATTATTTCATAAATACTAGGTTTAATGGGTGAATTTAGCTTGCTGATTCCTTGTAATGTATCTCAGCTGGTACCTTCATATACACCGAAAGTCCTTCTAGATCTTTTGGTTATCCTATTTAACAAGTAGAATGTCAGATGACCAACCCACTACTTAGCTGTCAAATATGACTGCTTTTAATTGATGTCTGACTACCTGCTTTTCAAAATCAGTTAAATCTCTCTACAAATCCTTGACTGCCATTTAGCCACAGGGAATATATTTTTGCTCTCTCCTTTAGTCTTCATGTGTTTTTAGTTTTTCTTTTAATTCCATTTCCTTGAGAACTGCATGAATGCACATAGACCTGTAGCTACCCAGTATTTTCACTAGTGAGCTAACTAAAGACTCCTGTAACAGAGGTTTGATAAGGTCAGATGGTACCAAGTACATTAGGCACTTAATGTTCTTTTTAATTTTATGCTATCCGTGGTTTGTGTTTGTACTGCGTTTGAGGAAATATGCACATTATAGTTGGCATGCACTATTTTAAACTAGACCCTTTTAATTAAAGGCCTAGAAATAGCAGCTTTAATAGTACAGAGTAGCTGTCCACCACTGGGGAAGATAAAAAGCACTGCAGATGTGTATGCCCTGAGCTATCCACGCACGTGGTATTTTTCCTGATTTTGTGCTCCTCTCTACGTAAATATTAGAAAAGTATTTTTAGGCTCACTTTAAGCAACACATACTAACTATGTCATAGAAGCTGAGAAATCGGCAACAAAAATACTTCTTAGAACGTAGGCTGTTGAAAAGGGATGCTATCTGAAGAGTCTGTTCTGGAATTAAGTTAGAAACTAGGGAGCAGCAGCAGTAAATATACTTTCTAGAGTAAATAGGGAAGATTTTGTAATTGCGCTACTACTTAAGTCCCAGAAAATGTGTTCATCAGGGTATATTTGAATGCATGTCTTCTCTACATTAAATTTAATCAAATGCAGAATGTAATAGCTAGGAATGTCTAGAAAGGTGTCATGAAAACCTGCCATGTTACTCGTTATTGCAATACTTTCATGGCTGGTGAACACCCTAACATTCCATTTTAGGGTTTATGATAGGTATTATAATAATCAATAACTTGCATTTAAATATCATCGAGAAAGAAAGAATGATCAAAGTAGCTAGAAAGCCAGCTTTCTGAAACGCTTAGCTTCTCTGTTGTATGATAATAGACTGAGGACAGGCTAACCTGTGAAACTCAGAAGAGAAATGTAAAGAAAGTAAATAGTCAAAATTGTCAGCAGTGCTTTTGTTAGAAGCTGAAACAAAGCTACTGTATGAACTAGGTGAGAATGATGGCTAAGCCTATGCTTGCTTGACTACAGGATGAGCTTTATTTAGTATTAATCTTGGTATATTTGGACACAGTTCTGAAGTATAAATGAGGGGTTTATTCTTTCAGTGTAAACCACAATGGGTTTATGCTGTTATCATCTCTGAATTAGACAAAGTGCAGCTACAGAAATGAACATCATTTCAAAGGGGTGTTGAACAAACAAGATATGCTGCTTCAAACTCATATGGAGAACTGTCAAAATTGAACAAGTACTGAGATGAATCTGCTGGCTGAAAAATCACAAAATAGATTGCCCTTCAGGCCTTTTTAGGGAACGATGATAGATTATTTGCAAGTGACAGATGCAGGGCATTCTGTAAAAGAACAGCAAGCAGTCAGGAGGAAGTGAAAGAGAAGCTTTATAGTGGAGTTTTGTGATGCAGTAGGCAGGTCTAACACCTCTAGTGCTGTTTTGATGACATTTAAAAATGTGTTAGGAGGCTGTGGTCAGTCCTAATCTAGGCATGCATGAAAGGGGATCCTGGCAGCAAAGCACCAAATGTAGGAGGCCATGGAGGAAAAGAGTACTAAAACCTTCCTTTTAACAGGACCCATCTTGTTGGTACTGAATGCAGTAGATATGTGACCTGTGGAATTGAGCCCAGGCAGAGAAGGACAATCACAGTTCAATGTGCTTATACTCCTTAGCGAAGAAATCATTTGCTTCTAATTTTTTTCTCTGAAAATAAATCCTTCCATCTCAGGCATTAATAGAACATTTTTCAACTTGACCTAGTCAAACCAGTCATAAATTAGATAGGAGAATGGAAAATAACTTTCAGAAGAAAATAAATGGAAGAAATAAATGGAAGTTTGCTGGAGTCGGTGACCTTCAACATCGCTGTGTTAGATCCCATGCATGCCCATTTTTCAGCCTCATAGGGATTCTCTGCTGTGAGAGCCAAGATCGCAGCCCATTAGAGCACCAGATGAGCAGGAAGTTATCCTGCATAGTCTTAAAGCCTCATGTTCTTGTTAGATAGAGACTGCAGATGATTTAAGGCTGACAGATTTATTTGTGTGTTGAACTTGTTTGTTAAACCTATTTGTTCCCTGCTTAGTGCTGGCAGTTGAAAGTACAGGACCTGCATTTGGCAGGTGTGTAGAAACCCAGCCCTGTTCTCATACTATTTGTACAGAGCAGGCTTTCAAAAAAAGAGTGAGAAGAGGCAGGTGGCCAGAGTGGGTCACCCAGAGCTCAGTGGTGGAATCTGAACATTAATAATGGTAGACTCGAGTAGCTTAATTTTTTTTTTTTTTCTTGGCCCTTGCCTTTGTAGCCATCTTAAAGTATGGCTGGACAGAGAGAGACTTTCAAAGACAATCAAGAAGCCAGTTTGATCAGAGGAAGAATTTGGAGGGAGACTCACAGCATGAAAGATGGAAGCATGCAAACTTCAGGCCCTTCCACTAAGGAGTTTCCAATGCAGAGACAGAATTGGGCAGGCAGATGCAGGCCCGGAGACCCTACGGGAGGGCATGGGAAGCTGCTACCACATTGTTTCTTTCAGGGTTGAAATTGCTCTTGTTCTGTGAGAGGGGTGAAAGCTTGTCTTTTAAGTTATCTATTCAATATGGTCAATCAGTTTATCCTGTCTGTGCTAGTGTAGGAGATGGGAGAGAGTTTAATGTAAGATAAAGCTAAAAGTCTTCAAATGAAATAGGAAACATTGATTTTACATCAGCAACAGAAGTATTTCTGGGCTTGATCTCAATTTCAAACCTTGAGAGATTTAAGAGAGCTTTAGTTTTGAGATTTGTGCAATTAACATGGAAATGGATTGCAGTTTCATGGCACAATAAGCTTATTTTATATGTAATATTGTTTCATTGTTGAGAAAAGGGAAGGAAATGAGCATTTATGTTTTGTAAGCAAGGCAAGTGGGTTGATGCAGATACAGGGAGCTGTTCTGAAGGGGACTGAGAAGAGAAAAGGATATTTGATTCCATGCCAAGAAATTATCTACAGAACTCAGATTTCACATGAAATTCCCCTAACTACTGAATTGAACTGTCTCTAGGTCATGGCCCATGAGCTGTTCTCCAGCTTTAGTCTCAGATTCGTTGGATAATAAA